CCCCTGCCCATCATGCTCAGCCTCTCTGTGGAAGCTGTGCTGTTAGAGAGCCACAGGCTAGTGGGAGGGGTCCTTGGAGAGACATCGCCCCCCACCCATCTACCCCCTTGGCCCAGAACCAGCCCACACTTCCATCACAGATGCTCATGCTCACAGCACCCTCACCACACCAGCTATGGGCTGGCAGCAATAGGCATGCCCCAGCCCCAAGTACCCAATCATTACAGTGTCAGTCCACCGCCTTGGAGAACTCCTTTAAAAATATGTTTTTCTTGCAAACCCTTCTAGAAGTCATTCTGACAACAAGATACCATGGAGTTTTTATAAGCCCTTGTAACAACAAAACACCACACCAACTAAAACATCCACCCACAAAAGCATCATGAGGGTTGTTGGCAGCCTCCTCGATGTTCACCCCCTTCCACAGGGGTCTGTCGCCCTGACGTGTGGTCTGAGTGGGAAGGACGAACACAGGGGGTTCTGGGGTGGCGGGGGAGCTTCCCTCAATGGCTTCACTACGATGCCATTCCCATCACAGTAAGGCCCCAGCTTGTCCGTGATGGGTCTGCCCTCCCTCTGCCTTGGCCCATGGGGACACTATGGAAGGCAGAGCAGAGAGAATAAAAGAAACCAGATCCTGCTGGCGTCGCTGAGCCACTTGGATCAAACTAACCCCGAAGCTCACCCCACCTCCGGACTTTCCAGTTTCAGGAGCCAAAAACCTCCCCTCATTGTATAAACCAGTTTGAACTGGGTTTTCTGTTACCTGCTACTGTAAACACACTCCCCTGAATAGAGCAAGGTTCATTCACTGGCTGGCCTGGTCCTGCCGTGGGCAGTGTGACTGTGAAAATGCACCGTGGATGGGTATGCACTCATGGAGAAAGATTTCTGAGATATACTAAGTAAAATTAATTGTTGACTACTATGTAAAACATGATCCTCATTTGTGTGAAAAAGATATTTGAATATGCATCCACATTTTCTGGAAGGGTACTTAGTAGCGGTTGCCTCTGGGGAACGGGAACCGTACTTTTCCCCATTATACTAGCCCATGTTTAGATTGCTTATACATATAAAATGACTAGTTTTAAAGTTGTTTGAGGTGATAAAACTATAGTTCGAGGTGATAATTTACTTTGGTAGTTATTAAACCATGCCTCCGAAGCCCCCGCTGAAGTATGAGACGTGGGGCATGGGAAGAAGGCGGAAGAAAGAATGGTCTCTGACCTTCCTGAAGAATACTTCATTTGAAATCGGTCACTTCACCAGAACAGCATCCACTTGAATGTAGGCTTGGCTTTTTCTTCCTGTAAAAGTCACTCCCCAGTCCTTATTCCACAGCGCCCACGGCAGGTTTTCTGGAAGCACCTGGAGACCCCAACAGCATTCTGAGAATGAACATACCTTTTTACTGCCGTCTAGAGGAGGAAAAGCCAGGTCTTGCTGGGTTGGCAGAGAGCTAAAACAGCACTAAAGGTATACGGTTCTCTGGATTTTCGGAGTGTCCTGTCGGCCCTGGCAGGCCAGGCAGCAACCTCTTGAGTAACAAACACAAGCTTGCAGAAGCATCTTTACCAAGATCCATCATTTGGGACAAGTTACCACAGTTTAGGGGCAGACAACCAAAAAACCCTGTGGCCCATGGACAGACACCATGACCCTAGAACTAGAAATGCCCACCTATGAAGGTCATACAGTCATTCTACTCACCTGGTACTGCTAAAGGCACTGCACCTCTGGGTGGCAGGCCTGAGCACTTGACACCTGGGCAGGACCTTCCGAGGATGCTGGGACCACTGCAATAGCCCCTCGCCTTTCTCTGTGCCTCTGCAGTCCGTGCTCTGAGGCTGCTGACCAAGAGCGGTCAGGTGGCCCCTGCTACCGAGACTGAGGTTTTTCCTTCTCTGCTGGTCTCCTCTTCTGGGGAGCTCTCCACTCGGGGTCCCTAAGATTGCAGAGGCCCACACTCAGATGAGTGCCCATTACCACCCCGGTGGCAGTCCCCTACATAGTATCCCCTGGAGAGAAGGCCATGTCCAATTCCTCACCACCCAGTGCAGAAAGACCTCTGTGGGCTTGCTGGGTGGAAAGCAGCTCTGGCCTTGCAGGGAAGTGAGCCTGCTGCCCAAACCCAGGGCCTCAGGGGCAAGGCTGAGCACTGTGATGATCTGAGTGCCTTGAGTAAGGCTGAGAACCATATTTTCCCAAATCCAGGTCCAGAGGCAGGAGTGAGCACTCCCCTGCCTTCTCCAAATGCCTGTCGATCTGCCACAGAGCCCGTTAGCTGGACAATCTTCAGAAAACTGCTTCTCCCCAGGCTTGCCCTTGATGTGGTTTTGCTCAGTAGGAGCCAGGCCTATTTTAATAGGTAAAGGTTCTGGGACTGGCTTCCAGAGTTTGAATCTAGATCTTCCCAATCCTCAACAGGAGCTCTCCTTTCTTTGAGTCTCACATTTGGGCATGAAAATGGCTTCCTCTGAGCTCTTCTGGTGACTGAGCTTAACTGTTAAGTACCCAGAGCACTTCCTATGTTCCAGGAGGTTCTGTAGCCAATTCATTTTTATTGTTATTCATGTGGGGGAAACCTAGCACAGGCTTCCCGTGCACGAGCACGGGTGGTTTTCCTGCCCAGCTCACAGCCTTGCCCTTCAGGCAGGGGGCACCCCTGGAGACGGGGGAGCTGGGCAGTGGCAGGCGTAGCTGGAAGCATGACAAGGACGGGTGGGCGAGCGCCAGAGACCTGGTGAGCCTGGGCCACAGAAGCAGAAGACAGTCCAGAGTGTTGGGAGCTGCGGAGGCCAACGGGGCTTGGTGAGGGGGTGAGCAGCTTTCAGTCAGGGAGGAGAGTGGTGGGCTGTGGCAGGATGGGGAACAGAGACCCAGACAATGAGCCTCCCCAGGAAGGGAAGGAAGGCAGGCGAGGGGGCCGAAGCAAGCTTTCGGAGATGGGGAAAGATGTAATGGTGTGAGTGGGAGAGGACATGGGAAAACAATGATGCAGCCGAGTCCTTCAAGGAGGGGGCAGGAGGGGCGCGGGAAGGATAAGGGAAGAGCCAGACACGTTACAGTAAGCGTATGTGGGGGCGAGGAGGGGACGTGCACAGGTCACACTGGCCTCCACCCGGTCTGGGAGGGCAGGGAGTACGGGGGCTGCGCAGGGAAGGGCCGGGACGGCTGCACTGTGACTCCGTACAGAGGCGGGCTCACTGGAGATGGCCACACGTGCACCACTTCCGCTGGGCCTCCTCTCTATCCTCCAGCCGCTCAGAGTCAGAGGGGATGGCTCCAATGGCCAGAGTTTTGTCAACTAATTGAAAAACAAACTCAACTTCAAAAAAATCATAGCTAGTCTTCACCCGGAGCTGGGCTGTGAGCTGTCAAGAGATTTGCAAGGGGTCCGGCCACCCCGTCGACCTCGAGAGATGGGCCAGAAGCTAAGCTATTGGGTGTCCACGCACCAGCAGCACTGGGTCTGGAGCCACCATCTCCCCCAGGGCAGGATGGGTCAGAGGCACACTAACCCTTTACAGCTGGGCCAGCAGGTCCAGACATACCCGTGTAGCAGCTGTGCCCAGATCCCCATCCAGGGTCCCCGAGCTCTCTCGCCTGGATCATACCGCCCGGGGCTGGACAGAGGTAGCCTAACGCACTTCCTCCCGGCCTGCAGAGTCAACGTTCTGCCTCGTGCTTCCAGCTGGGCACAACCAAGCCACAAGCCCGCTTGTTCCAGCTGTAACTGCCACACAAAGCATAACTGAAAGTGGCGTACAGAATCTAAAACGAATCACTTGATGAAAGTTATTCCGGATTGTGCCATGATTGCCGTTACCCTCCACTGTCCTGTTGTGTCGAGTCACACCCAGTCCCCCTGGTTCCCTGGGCAGCTGAGTTTACCCCTGTAATGCTTAATGCCATCTTGATATCACTCAAAATAAAAACCACCAGGACAACAGCATTAATATAAAGATATATTCCATAAAAGAGTTTGGCAGTCAAAGAAAAGCATCACACTTCCCGAAAACACAAGCATTCTTCTTCCTCTAGTCTACAGAGAAAATTGTAAAGAAACAAAAAAAAACAAGAACAAAAACAAAAATCATAACATCATTAACAAACACCCACCAGTATACACCACACTAGCATGTACACTTCGGCAAGTCAGTGAAGGTAGCACTCAATCCCTGAACGATGAGGACAGAACTGGTACAAGATCCAGAGAAGCGTTAGGAGCCCAGCCAAAGACGCACAAACCATTCGGTACATAAGACAGACTTCATTTCCAAGAGCAAGCCCCAGGATAGCCCTGCCAGGGAGGGTGGACATGATCACCACAGATATCCTGATTGGGGACAGTGGAGGGGGGGTCATCACAAAAGTTAGCCAAAAAAAAGAACCATCCCGAACTTCTACACAGCTGCAGGCTGAGGTCTCCGGCTCCACAGAGGGGCCCGGCCACAGGTCCGCTCTCCAGGGAGAGGCAAATGCCAGGCCGACCAGCAGCCCTTAGCACGTGGCCTCGAGAGGAGCCCTGGTCACAGGTTCTGGGCTGGCTGCCTCTGGCTGGGGCTCCCTGGCCCTTGCCTTGGGGCAGGCGGGAGGTGGGGGGTGTCAGGATTCAAGTTCCGGGTGGCGGTTCCAGTAGCACCAAGACCAGAAGCCAGTGAGGCCAAGCTGGGGAGGGGAGTGGGTGCGTGTGAGCTGGGGGTGCAGAGAGGAAGAGGGAGTGCACGTGTGCACCTGGGCTGTGAGGCATGAAAAGGAGAAGTGATGGGGTTGGTTCTTGAGACACTCGAGGGAACTGAGAGGGATGGCTTCAGTCCCAGACACCGTGTAAGGCTGCTTGGAGGGAATGCCAGAGGAAATGAAGAAACGGTGTGAGAACATTCTTATCCCTATAAATAAACTATTTACACACTTTCAGAGAGGGAGAGCCGACTCAGAGGAGAACGCTGCCCACGCCCCCCTCCCCCCGTGCCATCGGGCACACCGCTGTGAGACTGGAGGCGGGTCTTGCCCTGGCAGGGGCAGCGGAGGGGGCGCTCCGTGGCACCCGTCCACACATGGCTCAGGCTTACTTGGACACGGCTGAGGATCCCGCAAACATCCCCCGACTTGTGCAGACAGCACAGGCTCTGCTGGCACGGTCCACTTGTGCCCCTAGCCCTCCCCAGGTCCTTCTGCTGCTGGGAGAAGCCTCGTCCGTGTCTGCTGGGGCACCCCCCGCTCCCATGTCCCACCCGCAGCAGATGAGGCTGCCCTCCAGGCCAGCACCGGTGACACGAGTTGGGAGGCCAGGGTGCCCTGCAGACACACTTAGTCTCCAGGAGAACCAAGTCAAGCCCTTTTCACAGCCACGGGAGCCTTCTGTCCCTCAGAGTCACCACCCCCACTTAAAGATATTTTCTCTGTCTCTGGGTAGACCCCAAGTCGGGGGGGGTCTCCGTCCCAAGTCCGTGCAGGTCAGAGGGGCCCCTCGGTCTTCAGCACCAGCAAACAGAAACAGGGAGGTCGCGGCACGGTGATGCCGAAGACAGGGTGCTGGCTCTGGCTGGGTGCGTCCACTTCTCTCCCTCTGGATGTCGAGTTGACAAGAGTGAAGGGCTCTGGCCTCTGCAGCGTGGCTCAGCTCTGCTTGCTCACCTCTCTTCCTCAGAAGTGATGGCCTGCCTTCACCGCCTCAATGTCCGAGATCAAGGTCTTCGCCAGGAAGATGCCAAAAATCTGAAACCAAAGCCACACAGGCTGTCAGTGTTGGGGCCCGACGGCAAGGTGCACGGGGAAGCCTGCACTGCACACCAGCCCCGGGCCCGCTCTGCACACTGAGGACGTGGCACACAGAAAAACAACCAGGCCTGTGGCAAAACAAGACTCACCCACCAGTAAAAAGGGAGTCCTGGGGTCTGTTTTGCTATATCCCTGGGGCCTAGAAGTTTGGGGCACACGGCAGGCAGCACAGAAGGCCTGCCTCCGACAGGGCCATGCACGTCACATACCATGAGCTGGAACACATTTTGCACCCAAAGTTAAACCAAAAATAAGAGTCACCTGACTGGTTCTGACGCAAAATAATAAATCTTGATGTTTCCTGTAAACCTGGATTCCACAATAAAAACAAGGTTCTCCCTGATTTTAGCAGTGCTGCCATCTGACCTTGGTGACCAGCATCGTCAGACTATGGGAAGACTGTTTTTCTACCAGAAACAGACCAACATGAACTCGGAAATCTTGGAATTTTATTTCCCCTTTAAATTCTTGTTGTGGTTTATATTTGATGAGCCAGTCCTTCTGAAGTCTGACTGCTTTGCCTGTTTGGCAAGTAAATTTGTTCTTTCCTTTCCTAGGTGCTTCTGTGTCTAAGCTTCCCTCAGAGATCGCTCAACACACATTCGCGGGGTGAAGGAGGAAGGAGTGTGTGGATGGTGAGCAGGCCCCGGGCCGCGTCACGCACCCTCTTCACGGCACCACGTGGGAGGTGAACGATGAGCTTTCCACACGGCAGTGGCGGCCGTCCCGGAGGCTGCTTGGGGGCTGCCGGCTTCTCCTCCCAAGCCCTGGGCACCCCGGAGAACTCCTGGTTTCTCTGATTCGCAGAGTTCTTGCCTCCCCTCCCCCTCCCCATTCTCTCGGCCACCAGTCTTCCCACGTGCAATCTGGTTCAAATGAACAGGTGCGACCCGCAAGGACGAAGGAAGCCACAAAGGGCAGGGGGAACGAACCTGTAGCAGGGAGATGGCGATGAAGACCCCGGCCACGATGTAAATATTGCGCGGAAGCCAGCCCTCCAGCGCCTGGATGCAGCCTTTTGTGAAGATGGACTCGTCCCACTTGCTCTTCAGCTGCAGGGAAACACCACAGCGACCTGAGCCCAAGACATGTGGGGCGTCCCCACCCCGGCTCCCCAGAGGGTTCCCGCGGCGGGCAGGGTGAGGCTCGGTGGGAGCCAGGGTGCTGGAAGGTGGGTGCCAAGGATGGACAGAACTCTGCAGAACTGCATCCACGTGCCCCGGTCTCTGCCCTCTCCCATCTCCCCAGGCGGTCTGCATCTTCTACTCTGCCCCAACAAAGGCTCCCTGGCGGCGGTCTTTACCCACTCCTGGTGGGGCCTCCCCAGACTGAAAGAGGGACACACCTCCAGAGCCCACATCCGAAGGGCAGGGAGGGAGGGGCCTCAGGGCTCGAGAAGGAAGATGTGCCTTTAAAGAGAGAAACTAGAAGGGCCTTCAGCATCTTCTAAGTCAGAGAAGTTGGCCGGGGAAGGGGAGGACAGTGGTTTCCCAGAGTGTGTCCCCCACCCAGTTAAGCTTGGCTCCAGAAGCCAGGGTCACAGAACGGTCATAAGCCCACGGGCTCCTTCCAATCCTGACCCTTAGTGGAGACTCAGCAGGCACACAGGAGGTGCCCTCAGCACACACAGCCCACCTTCACCCGCATGCAGCCTCACCCATGGCAATACTGATGGATTAGTAATCCATTTCAGTGGGGTGAGGGGCTGAACTGTGTCCCCCTAAAATTCAGACGTTGAAGTCCTAACCCCCAATTCCTCAGAATGTGATTGCATTTGGAGACAGGGTGTTTAAAGAGGTAATATAACCCATAACCCTAACCCTAACGCTAAACTGAACCCTCTGGAGAGATCTCTGAACAGCAGGATACCAGGCACATACCCATACCCTTACCCTAGCCCCTAACCCCTAACCCTAATGATAACCCTAACTCTAAAGTTATCCCTCCACAGAGGTCTCTGAACTGCAGGATAATAGGCAGATACCTTCACACTGTCCCCAACCCTAACCTTAACCATCATGCTGGCCCTAAACCGAACCCAAACTCTAGATCTGAGGGAAAAACAGATGTGTTACATATATACAACGGATTATTACTCAGCCATAAAAAAAGAATAAAATCTTGCCATTGGCAACAACGTGGATGCAGCTAGAGAGTATTATGCTAAGCGAAATAAGTCAGTCAGAGAAAGAGAAAGACTGTATGAAAAAAAAAGAGATAAATAAATTAAAATGAGGTTATCAGGGTAGGCTCTAATCCAATATGACTGGTGTCCTCATAAAAAGTGATCAGGGGCGCCTGGGTGGCTCAGTCGGTTAGGCAACTGCCTTTGGCTCAGGTCATGATTGTGGAGTCCCGGGATTGAGTCCCGCATCGGGCTCCCTGCTCAGCGGGGAGTCTGCTTCTCTCTCTCTGGCCCTCCCCCCTCTCATGGTCTCTCTCTCTCATTCTCTATCAAATAAATAAATAAAATCTTAAAAAAAAAAGTGATCAGGACACCAAAAGACACAGAGGGAGGACGAGGTGGGCACACACACAGGAGAAGGCAGCCACCCACAAGGCCAGGAGAGAGGCCTCAGACCAACCCTGCCAACACCCTAATGTCGGACTTCTGAACGCGAGTTCTGAGGAGAGAAGTTTCCGTTGTATCAGCCACAGTCTGTGCTACTTGGTTATGACAGCCCTAGAATCTAATGCAAGTGGCAATGAGAGGACAATGCTGGTACAGGCCTGTCCTGTGCAACGGACGGAGATCCCTGCAGAAGGGCTTCGGGCCTCCCAAACCGGAGGCACACATCCCTGATGCCCCAAGTTCCGTGGATTCCCCAAGTTCCCTCCTTCAGAACATCAGTCACTCATACCACCAAAGGCCACAGAGCAGTGCCAGCAGGGAGGGGGACACTCACTTTTCTTCACCCCCACACCCCCTGTGGCCTGAAGAAAGCCCTGGAGGACTGAGCCTTTCTCCCGCCCCAAGACCCATCTCCCTGCTCATTGTCACCCCCGCCTCAGTATGGCAGCTAAACCAAGCCATGCGCTCCTACAGCTTCATCCTGAACTCCAAAGAACAGACACCTCCTGGGACTCCAAGGAGTCATTAAAAATATAGCCTTTGTTCCCGAAACTTTCATCTGACCTCTTCCCGCTAAAGCAGCAACTGCTAGATTTTGTGACTGCAGTTCACAGGGCTGGGAATCACCCCCCTCACTGTTCCCGGGAGTCTTGCCACCAGCGGCTCCCACCCAGCTCGCTCCCAGCTTAGATGGCACCTCCCCAAGTCTCACCCACTCCAATGTGCATTTGTGCTAAATCAGGATGCTGGACCACAGGGAATAAACCTGACGAACTCAAAGTTGCATGCATCAGGTACTCACCTGGGTCCTGACATCATATCCACACTGTGTGTTCACAACTTTTTGCTGTAAGAAAAGCAGGAAGAAATTGGTCATTTTTGTTCTCTTGGGAAGCCAGTGGTGGAAGGCTCTAGAAAAGTCCCAAACAGGGCGCCTGGGTGGCTCAAATGGTTAAGCGTCTGCCTTCGGCTCAGGTCATGATCCCAGGCTCCTGGGATCGAGTCCCGCATCAGGCTCCCTGCTCCTTGGGAGCCTGCTTCTCCCTCTGCCTCTCTCTCTCTCTCTCTCGTCTCTCATGAATAAATAAATAAAATCTTTAAAAAAAGAAAAGTCCCAAACAAACATCAGCAAACACCTTTACAAATTCCATTATAGCTCACATCCTTTAATCCCGATGCCAACTAACCTTTCATACTAGGACAAAGGTTGGCCAGCTGTGTGTGTGAGGGAGACCTGTCTACGTAGCAACTATTCAACTCTGCTCACAGAACATGAAGGAAGACATAGATGATACATAACAAATGCACATGGCCATATTTCAGCAAAACTTAACTTATGGACACTGAAATTCAAATTTCATATAATTTTCACCTATCACAAAATATTATCCTTCCTTTCATTTACTGTCAACCATTTAAAAATGGGTGAAACTGTTCTTGGCTCAAAGATCCTACACAGAGGAGGCTGGATCCGGTCCACGGGTCATAGTTTGCTAGTGTCTGCGCTGGGAGATGCAAGTTCCGCTCGCTCAGTATTTCACGGTCACAGTGGGGATCTCAGGCCCTAGCTGTGTGGCCGCAGCAGACCCGAGCCTCTCCTAGGCTGGGGAGCGGGCCTGCTCGGAGCCCCGGGGCCCAGTACCACAGCTGTAAAGGGTTCACAGTTCCAGCAAACATTCAGTGCCCCTTCACAGGTCACCCCAAGAGCCCCGTTTCTGGAACCCAGGGACCCAGGCCATGGGCTGGGAGTGAGACCAGGTGAAGAAAGGCGAGAATCCTCCACCACCCCCAGACGGTGAGTACCCCCACTGCCCGGGCATTCTCTCCAGAGGACAGTGAAGAGGGCGGCCCAGGGCTCACCGCATTTCTAGCATTTCATCCAGGCGCCCTGCGTGAGAGCCCCTCGAGGGGCGGACACGACTGGTTTTCTCCTGCTTCACCCAGAACACTAGAGCAAGGGCAGGTCATGCAAAACCATTGCTGGGATGTACACACAGAGGACTTGGGCGCTGCAGGAGCCTGGCGGTGGTGTGCGGAGGGAGCACAGGGCGGTCTGAAGAGGAGCAGCCCGGAGCCTCCAGAGCCCGGAACTGCTCCCCACATGCCCCGGGGCAGGCCAACTCACCGCAGGGTCCGGCACGCAGCAGGAGAAGGGCACCCCACACTTCTCGCGACTGTAGCTGGCGCCGCTGCAGTTAAAGTAGACATTGAGGTCCCAGTCTTCAGGCCCATATGCCCCGCAGCACTGGTTCTGGGATCACAAAAGCCGAGAGCTGTCAGGGGCTCCGGCTCTGAGCCGGAGCTGTGACCACCCACAGGGGAGCGGGGACACGACCGGAAGCGCCCCCCATCGACCTCCTGCATGCACAGAGATGCTGAGCATGGTGACCCGGACAGCCTTTTAAGAAGGAAACCAGGAAACTCGGCCATAAGCCGCCACCGCCCCGCCCCACCCCCGCCGCCCCCGCCGGGTCCAGCAGGCAGGACCGGCTCCGCAGTGCCCCCTGGCCTCCGCTGGGACGCGGCACTCTGGTCCAGACCCTCCTCCCCCTGGAGCTTCCCCTTCCTCCCCTCCCCTCAACCCAGAGCAGATTCCTCACCCTCCTCAGAGGCCACTCAGTACCTCTGATGCAGTTCTCTCATGCCCCCGGGAACCCCACCTTGTGGGCTGTGAGTGCGGCTCCCTCCCAGAGAAATTTCCAAGCTGGCCTTACTTCCCTTAGGTGCCTCCTTACAAAACACAGCTGCTGGACGTCTGACTCCCAAGGCCAGAACTGTGAGCAAGGTGGACAGTGACACAATCATAGCTCTGTCCCCCATAACCTGGGGTCTCTGCACCCCCCATCATCTGGTGTAGTCGCCAAGAGAATCGCCACTCATCTAAAACTTGTAAAACAGCCAAACACCAACAATAGCACAGTGATGTCAAGGTCCTTCCAGAGCAGGAGCAGACTCCATTTTCACACTTGTCCTGACTACTAACGTGGCTGTGGCCGTGATCACAACAAACACGGGACCAGGATTCCCGGTTGTCTTCTTTCACTTCTAAGATAAAATCCCATCCCCCCCTTTACCCTGCCCTGTTCCAGCTGCTTTCATGATTCCCGAGTATCTCAGCGTGAGGAATCTCCAAAATTTACTGAGTGCCTCTGGAGAACGTACTTTCAAGGGGAAAGGCGGCACTGAAGAAGAGCGCCCTGGCTTCGAGGCAGGTGTGGGCAGGAGCGCCCGGGCACAGCGAGGCGCCGGGACAACGGGAACCGCGGGCGGGCTCAGTGAGGGGCGGGAGGAAGTGGCTGCGATGGGGCTGTCGCAGATGAGTGCCAGTCACTATTACGACACAGGGTCTCTGGTCACATAAGTGGGTTTGGCCGGATCCCCAGATACACGACATAAGGGTAAACGAGTTTTCGTGAACATGAGAGCGGACCAGAGTTATTTTTAAGGCTTGCTTGCTTATTTTCTTCTCAGAACCCAAGCATTCCACATGAAGTCCCTGAGGAAGCGAGGTTTTCCGGCAGCGCACAGACGGATCACACGATGGCCTTGCCCCAGCCGGTGGCGGGGAGTGGGCCCCCTAGGGCGGGGATGGCTGTGGTCCAAGCCTCCAGGTGCAGACGCACACAGGGGAGACAGGGGCCAGATGGAGTCAAGGCCAAGGCCTGGGATGGCTTAGACAGCCCCCTGGGGACATATTCCAGGGAGGTCACATTCCTCCCCATCTGGGGAAGCTTCCTCCAGGCTGCTCTGCCCTGTCGAACAGGAAGGGGAAAGGTCCCAGGGAGGAAGGGGACAGGAATAGCCTCAGACGGTGAGTCACGCGCTGGGGGGGAGGAGACGCTCCGCCCCTGGGTACCCACAGCGCCTGGGGACCTGCGGCCGCCTGCATGGCCGGGACTGGAGAGATCTGGGCTCCAGGGGGAGGGTGGCCGCGGGGGCAGCTAGACTGCCTGCCCCATGCAAATGGTGGAGGACACACTGTGAACACGCCCACACAGCCAGGCAACCACGAGCAGGCAAAGCTAAACTGACCAGAGGCGGGAGCGGCACCTCCCACGGCCTCCCCGCTACCTGCCGGGCTGAGGATGGATGCCCAGGGTTCCCCACTAGCCGAGGCCGGAAGCACCGTCCCCAGCCATGGAAGCCCACACTCTACCCGGGAGGCCGGCGCCAGCGGTGCTTACAGCTTTCTGAAGGGAGTCAATGAGGTTCTGTAGGTCAATGTCGTCCCGGTAGGATCTGATGTTGCTCTCGAAGAACTCACGGAACCGGTCTCTCACCCAGTCCTGGAAGAGGAAGGCCAGCACGGCCACGGCCAGCTCCAAGAAGAAGATGAGCACGATGGTACCGCAGAACTGCGTGGGGCAAGCATGGGACCGAGGGTCATCATGGTACCGCAGAACTGCGTGGGGCAACGGGGCAAGCACGGGACCGAGGGTCATCATGGTACCGCAGAACTGCGTGGGGCAAGCACGGGACCGAGGGTCATCATGGTACCGCAGAACTGCGTGGGGCAACGGGGCAAGCATGGGACCGAGGGTCATCATGGTACCACAGAACTGCGTGGGGCAAGCACGGGACCAAGGGTCATCACGCCTCTGGCCAGGCCAAACCTCATCTAACCTGGGATCAGTGCCTGCCACAGAGTGTGGGCTCCACATCCAAGAGCCCAGCGCCGGAGCCCCCGGGTATCTCATGTTACCGGCTGGCAGCCCCACCCCATCTGTGAATGCAGATGTGCACCCCTACCCACATCACAGCATCATTGGTAAGAGACGAAAGGACGAGAAAGCTCCAAGCCACCGTGTCACCCATTTCCTGTGAGGTAGCCTCCCCCAACAAGCCCCATTCCGGGAATCAACGGTAACCTACCCCACCAGGCCATCAGCTCCTTTAAGGGCAAAGCCTGGGGCCCAGACACAGTATCTACCACTCTCCTCACACAACACACACAACCATCCAAGTTGCTAGAAATCTACTGTAGCCCACACTTTAGGGACAAGGAAACCACTCAGGCATGTCACTTGCTTGAGGTCACGCAGCTCATGCAGGACATCTGAGTCCCTCTGTACGTGTCAAGACCTCTGTAGAAGCACAGCGCCCCTGGCCACCACAGTGGTGGCCTTCTCCAAGGCCCCCCGCAGCTGCACCTCTCCCATCCGGCAGACGTCCGGCCAGCAGTGAGTGAGTTCTCCTGGCCATTACCACCACTGGTCACCCTGCGCTCTAAGCAGCGAGGCCACGGCAGGCAAAGGTCTCAGAATAAGACAAGGGGAAACACCCGCATACACACACAAACATACATACGCACAAAGCCCTCCAAAATGCAACCTCCATTCACACAGAAGGAAGATATTACATATATTTTTAAGGGGAAAAAAAAATGAGAAAAACAACAACAACGACACATGTTTTGCTTTTTAAATTAAACCCAGGGAAGAGAAGGCTTGATCTAATAAATTCAACAAATAATATATTGCAAAACATGATTATGTGTTTTCCCCACCAGGTGCTATTTAATTTTAACTGAATGCATTTCAACGTGAATTTGTATCTAAATATACAACCAAACTCTTCGTAACTGGCAGTTCTGCCAGGAAATTAAGGATTCTGCATTGCACATCCCAACACATTCACACACCCTGGAGGAGGGAAATGGTTTCCTAACTTTACTGGCAACATCTTTTGATCTTAGCCAAGAAGGGCAAAGGTGAGTAGCAAACAAACAATTCCTTTAGAACTTCTGAGGGAAATAAGAGGCAAGGGAGGGGGAGAGGAGCTGGCTGCTTAGCCATCTCTTCCCTCCAGGAGCTGAAAACTAGAGGGGCCCAACTTTTCCAGGGATGAGGAGCTGGTTCAGCTGATTGTTTCCTGAAATCTTACTGTTTGGTGGGCAGCCTCCTCCCCACACTGCTGGGGCCCAGTGGCGGGGGCGGGGGGGAACTGTAAGAGCTGCCACCCTCTCTGGCCAGATAAGGGGTAAGCCTGCCCCGCAGAGCCCACACCCCTCCCGCCCCTGTATCTGCGGCTACTCACAAACTTGAGCAGGCAGATGTTCTCCCGCAGGGCCCCCACGCAGCCAGCGAACCCCAGCGTGAACATCACCACGCCCACCATCAGGACCAGCACCACAGGGTCGATTCCATGCAGCCGGGTCACTTTGGTGAGGTCAGACAGCACTCCCTGAAAGAGGCAGAGAAAGCATCAGCCTCATGGAGTCGAGGGTGCCTTGGCGGGGGGGGGGGGGGGGCCCTAGGTTGTGTCCAGAGCTAAAATAAGGACAGGGACCTGTCTTCTGAGGCTCAGCCCTCTCATTAACAGTCAGGCCAGAACACAGAGCCTCAGCTCCTAGGGCCCTCGCATGCAGCAATCCTGGGCTGCACCTTGGCTGTGAGTCCCTCCCAGGCAGAACCCACACTTTTTTTGGAGACTGCAGGATCCCTATGCCAGGCCTGGAGTGGAGGGCACCTTAGGGCCAGAGCCTCACCCTGACCTCTGGCCATGTGGCAGCTTACTCTGCACTCAGTTCGTGGAGAGCCCCACTATCCTGAGCTGAAAGCAGCTTCAGTATGCACACCCTGGTGGAAAACAGCCACGGAGGCAAAAGCAGCACTGTCCCAAATGGTACCCACTGGCCTCATTACTATTGAGCACCTGAGGGCAATGAAAAGCTGAATTTTAACTCATGTTTCATTTTAACTAATTTAAATACATACAGTCACATGTGGCTAGTGAGAACCAAAACCGACTGAGGAGTTCTACAGGATGCAAAGGAGGAAGGAGAAAGGAGCCACCAGCCCAGCACCCAGCGGCTCCCAGGCTCCCAGGTAGCCAGGCTTCTGCTCAGGGCCCAGCCGGAGCTGCTGCTGTTCAGGAGATGGCCACACGGTGGCGATATGAGTCACGGTTTGCACAGGCTTGCAGGGTTTGTCCGCAGGACAAAGTGACATTGCACTTCAGCTCCTGCCCTTTAGGGGTTCACAGGCTACCTTGAAGATGCCTAAACCCCAAGGCGAGCCTTATTCAGCGCCTAAGGCCATGGCAAGAAAGCCCATGGATCTAAGCTCTCCCGCCTCCTTCTCCTGGAACCAAAGGGAGCTTCCACTGAAGGGATAAGAGAGGGTCCCGGGCCTGAGGCTTGAAGATGCTTTAGTTCTCTTGTTCGGCCTTGCTCCTTCTCTCTCCCCTCTTCTGCCCGCCCTGTAGCGAGGGTCTTCTTCAGCTCTATATCCCCGGCATGCACCCACCGGCAGAGCAGAAGCTGGCACCGCAGCTCACGAGTCCAGTCCCCTCCTCAGAGCCTCCACTGCCCCTTGTCCTTCTGGACAGGAAGAGCCCGGTCTCCCCACCTCCCCTCTCCTGCACAGTCTGGGCAAGGAGGTTCACAGGTGTGTGAGGAAGGGCACCCAGGGGGCGTGTAACACAGCCCTGCTCCCGATCTCAGAAGGGCAAGAACTTCAGGAATAAACACAACTGTGTTGAAGGAGGTGCTCGCTCCCAGAGGCACAGACAGGTACAGAAGGCGGCCCCAGGCCAGCGCCGGACACAACGGCAGACAAGCCCCCAGGCCGTCTGAGGCTTCTGGGAACAGCAGAGAGGGCTCTCCACACTCACGGAGCTCAAAAACCCAACCAGCCCAGCCCAGCCCAGCCCAGCCGTGGCCTCTAGCAGTGACCCCCCCACAGGGAAGCAGAGCCAGTCCCAGGGCCCCAGGAGGTCTCATGACAAGCTCAGTAACTATTTCCCAGAGCTGGCTCTGTGACGACCCATGGCTACAAACCATTACCCCATGCAAGAATGCTTGTCAGGGAGGAGTCTGGAAGGAGCAATTAAAGCTGAACACACCTGCTCCGGATGACCTGATGCTTCCACAGTGCTGGTAACAGTAACACCTACCTTTTCGCTCCATGCCCACAGTCCGACTCCAAGGAAGACAACTCCAGCCAACTAAGCAGGGGAGGAGGGGAGAGAAGGGGAGAAGTGGGGAAGGAGGGAGAGAGGCTGAGAATTAGTTAAGTCTGCAACCAGCACCATGAACGTGCTTCTTGGAGGGACATCCACACTGCTAGTCAAGGGACGCTCCCGGCTCGTGTCCGTGCAGGCGGGCCAGTGGCAAGGCAAGCCCTCGGTCCCTGCAGACGGCGCAAACTCTACCCCAGAGCAAAGGGACGGCCAGGCGTTTGGGGTAATTTACACATACCTTCCCTGAACATCTGGACAAACTCAATGGCCCCCATGCTCCAGAGACCAGAGAGGAAGATCTCAGAGCAGAGTCTGCCCTCGACACTATGGAGTCAGAGACACATCATGATGGCCCTGCCCTGTTTCTTCCACATTCCCAAAGCCCCCGAACTCACTTCAGTGCAGGATCTGGTATAAAGAAGACATGACCCCTCTGTGACAGCCCCCCAGATGCATTCACAGGCTCTCCAGAGCCCTGGGCACCTCTGCTCTACATGGGGCACATGTGTGCTCCGCGTTATTGGTTACTGGGTTATTTGTTACTGAATTAAAATAGGCCTGTGCTAAACAACGCATTCACCCCAGAAAAGGCACACCCCTCCACCCCACTGGAACCAGGCTGCCTCACCTGTACCACAACAGAAAGCGCCCCCCCATACACCACACAGGTTTCTAAACCAGAGAAGATTTTTTCCATATAAAACAAAACACCTGGTCTCTGAAAATTAAGCTGCCTATTTTTCTGCGTAAGTTCTTTATACCACGCTAGCATCTGCCTGCCATTCATCAGTACCTCCCGATAAATAATGGGGCCAGGTCTGTCTAGGACTCACCTCTCCAAGGAGTATTCTCACACTTTAATGCCTCCTTTGTTCACTACTGGCCCCGGGGGGGCTGGAGTGGGAAGGGAAGGCCCTTTAAAGAAAGCCCCCAGGAGATCACAACCTCTTTGGAATCACAGACCACCTTCACAGAATGCTTCTGTGCCCAATACTTGGGATGGGATTTCAGAGGGTTCACAGACCCCTCACCGCTGGTTCCCACAGAAGCCCTGCCTGCACCTGATTCGTCCACTTTACAAAGCAGAACATGGGCCCCAGAGGGCCAAGATGAAAACACCCAGCAGTGGAGAAGGGCCTAGAACCCAATTTATTCAACAGATACTGCCTGAGGCCCTCCTAAATGCCAGGCTCCGCGGCCAGCACTGAGGACGCAGACAAAGCCCCCGACACTGCTGCAGCTTCAACTCCAGGGAACAACACGCGGTCTGGCTACGTCACCCTGGTTTCGCAACTCTGTGGTCCTCCGGCTGATTTAACTAGTGGCTAAAGGCCTTGGTTTTTCTTGATGGGGTGCATGAGCACTTCCTCTCCCTCCCCAAGCGTCTTACACTACAGGGCAGGCAAGCCTGAAGGTGACCAATCACTGCCCACTGAATCCGGTAGGCTTCCCTCCCCGCCATTCCTCAAGGTCCCCAATGACTTAGCCTCTTGCCAGAGCTAGAGGTCAAGTCTTTTTTCTGTTTATTTGATCTGACCAGGCACAGCTGGTCATTCCCTCCTGCGCTGAGGCACTCAGCTTTGGCGACACAAAGCACTGGTCACTCTTCAGCCTTTCCTGCTGGCTCATCCTCCCCCAGGCACCTCTATATGCTGGCAAGCCTCACTGCTCTGTTCGGGGCCCCTCCCCCTCCCCTGGGTTCTCTAGATGAAGCTGTAATTCACATGGCTTGAAACACCATCTCTACACAGCTGACCCACAAACCCAAACCTCCATACCTAATCTCCACACTGACTTGTGCACAGAAGATAGCTGACAACATTTCAGTCTTCACATGGCCCCAAATGGAGCCTTGCTCTCCCAGGCCCAACCAGCCCCTGCCAACTCTTGCCCTTCTAATTAAATGGCACCACGGCCACCTCACTGGGTTGTTTAGATGAGAAAACCTACACCTCATGCTCTCCAAATGCATTCAGAGCAAATGGGAGCCAAGCAAAAGCCCAGCCTGGGCCAGGTCCACGGTCACGCCCTGCACAGAGGCATCAGGATCAGGACAGGAGGTTGTCCTGGAGGTTGTCCCTCCCTATGCCTCATCCAGTGTCCCCAACAGCACTGCAGCCCCTCCTGACCGATTTCCATGACAGCCACCTCCCACCTGGCACGACGGTGCATGGTGAGAGAATCCTGCCCCTCTGAGACCCCTGGCTGAGTCAGGACCAGCTCCCTCCCACTGCAGCCCAGATTTCCTGCTCTTACAACAACTGGGCACTAAGAAAAGGGCTCAGGGGTTTTTCCATTCGGTTTTAAAGAAAGAACTAACGTGAACTTGCACCAGAAAGACAGGAACCGGCAGGGTGGGGGGGATCACATGTCCGATCATGGGTTCAGTGAACACTGGCCCGAGGCAGGAACTTTGGGGACCAATTCTAGAGATGAGAAGACTGAGGGAGGACCAGACAGGGGAAGTGGACTGTCTGGGAGCTCACCCAACAGCCCCGTGAATGAGCCAGGCCGGGACACGTGCCAGCTTCACCCAGCTTCCAGTGGGGCCCCTTCCCTGGATCTCTCTGGGGCAGATGGTCCGTGGGGCTGGGCTGTTGTCCCTGGCGGCCAACCATCTGGGAGCGACAGTTCAGCTGGGTGCTTTCCAGCCTCAGAGTAACCTCCTTTGTCTCTCTTTTATGACCTGATTAAATCCCCTCCCAAAGGATGGGGCCAGACTCCCGCTAAGCCCAAAGGGAGGCCGGCCTTGGGCCATCAGGTATGTACACCACTGTGGTCACCATGGCAAGTGGTACCACTCTTTCCTGGATGCCAAGGCCAGCATTCAACACCTCCTACGCTTAAAGGGCCCCTTCAAACCCCATCACGGGTGTGTGTACTATTACCCCTTTTCAAACGGGAAAGCTCAGATGTAGAATGACTTGGTAATTTGCCCAAAGGCACACAACTAGCCAGTGGCAGAGTTCAAACCAAACCGGGTGTCTCTGACCCTCCTTAAAGCACATTATCCCAACCCCCACAGGGCAGCCACCTGGGCCAGGAAGACAAGCGGCCGCCTGAGCCCCCCACCGCAAGGGGCAGGCACAGGGGCCCCACGGCACGGGAGTTCCACAAAAGACGCTTTTGGGCTGTGCAACTCTGAAGCCCACGACCTATATCCTCAGGTGACGAGGGTCACTCTGTGGCCCACTCTGGCCAGGAAGCAGGGTGTCACTGTAAAGATTATTGACCCCCTCCCCCCGAGGCAAAGGCCCCCTATGGAAGGTGAGGGGTCCTCTCTGGACACTCTGGGCTGGAAACTACATGGAATCCACTCCCCATGTGAGCAAGCCTGGGGCACTTCACCCAAGCAGATTCAAGTGACAACGGAAGTGTAGACACCTGGCCAGGACACTGGCCAGGCTGGATAGGAGCAGGGTTCCAAAACCAAGCAGCTCAGAAGCAGCCCCTCATCACCCACACTTCAGTGGCCTTGGCCCCTTGCAAGATTTCATTTCGGTGTTATGTAAAAGGACTTGGGCAATTCTTGCAGGCCTCAGAGGCCTTCCTGCAGGGAGCTCAAGGCAAATCAGCAGCAGCAATGCAACCCTCTCAGGCTCTGCCCCCACTGGCCTCTGGTTCTTGCAAATCCCCTGGTTGTCAGAGGTTGACATTCACAGGGCTGCCTATGGGAGTCTCAGAATAAAAACCAGAAGGAGACCCAAGAGTAAGCCAAACTCAAGGCCGGAGTAGTGCTGAACACACAGCACAAGTCAGCTGGTCCTGGCTCCAGTCTCCACTCTGCAACTGTCTGGTGACAGGACTTCGTGCCAAATCCAGGAACTCCTCTGTGCCTATGATTTCCTCTGCACAATGGGAACGACCTTTCCTGGGTCATAGGAGGGTTGCAGGGATTGAAGGAAGTATATCACAAGTGACATGCTTACCCCAGGGCATGGAGCCGGTCCAAGGGAGCCCTGCCCTCCTGCAAGGGAGGAGAGCAGAGCAGAGGCATCGAGGGGCCTTCCAGATGCCACCAGCATCTGCTGGCCTTTAGACTCTCTGCACCCCCCCCCCCAATAACTCCCAGCTCCAGCCTTTGTCCTAAGACAAAGTCCTTCTTTCCAGAGGCATCTGTTTTATTGGGTCTCAGAGACAACAGTGAAGTAGAGTTTAGGGAAACAGGGCCTCTGAAGTCTTTTTAAGTAAGGTAAGAAGGAATGATGGAAAGAAAACAGGACAGAGTGGAAGAAGCTAGAACAGAATCTCAGCTCTGTTTCTAATTTGAGCAAACCATCCCTCTCTTGGACCTCAGTCTGCCAGTCTGCAAAACTGAGCAGCTGGAGGCTAGTAATCTGCAAAGGGCTGTACACCTCCCACCGCCTAAGCTCTGCCTTCATAAATCATGCCAAGGTGGCAACCCCATGGTCCAGGCACTTTCCAGGATAGGAAACCCTGACTCTAGACCTGGTGAGTTCAGAAAACACCAGAGAGCTTGTGGCCACGTGAAATGCCAACAACTCAAACTACTGGCCAGAAAGGACTCCAGAGGGCAGAGACTCTAGACCCAACCTGACCCTGAGAGCCCAGGGGGCTGAGAGTGAGTCTCAAGGTATCTGTCGGGGTTAGGAAGCCTCGCCCTTCAAGACTGTAGCCACTCTGAACCCTACAGAGTACAGGGAATGCCACTTTCAAATAGTCCCACGTTCAAAGAGTCAAAACTAAGCCACTTCTCAGTGGGAGTTTGGAAGATCTGGGAGCCGGAAGGGGCACTGGAGCCCAGCTTCCTCATTACAGAGGGAAGCGAGGCGCAGGGCAGGATAGTGCCTTGCGCCGGGTCACACAGCTACCATACACCAGCTTTTCCTCCTGCCGGAAGGGCGGTTCTGAAAATAAGAACCATGTGTGCCCTTTCCAGCACAGCCAGCAAACACATGCTAGGGGCCCCAGTGAGGAGGGGGAAGGACTACCCAGAGGACTCGGGGCAGTTTCCACAGATGTCT